CATTTTGCAAAAGACCTTATGAGCGACAGTGCAGCTGGACTCGGTACTTGAGAGAGGAATTAGCCCCTTTCCCTGGTGGTTAATGGCCGCTTTTTATTCCAATCTAAATGCACCGAGGCTGAGCCACCCTGCTGAGTTTATTATCTACTACATTTCTTGTTGCTCTAAGAAATATGCTTTACACCAGAGCCAGCATTCAAATCAATGGAGCAAAAATATAACATTTATTGTTAGTAAAATTGAATCATGCTGCAAAGGCTGAATGAATGCTTGACTTAAACTGGATGTGAGAAATCATTTCACTTGCCACGAGCGCTTTCAGGCTGACTCGCAGCCATATGCTGTTCACTCCCAGTGATTAATTGTTAGCTGGAGCAGGCACACACACATTGCCAAACGGAGAATAATAACCAAAGTTATGTTATTGATTTCCCATAACTCCATGTGAACCTATGTACCTAGCAAGGGGCCTGCATGCTGGTAATTCTGATCCTTGCGTTTCCTAAAAACAGAATTAAGAAGGAGGTAGCCTGGGTGCAGGGCAGGCAAACATCACACAATGAAAGAAAAGTTCTCTGGAGTTTCAAAAACATTTCCTTTGTTCCCTTCAAGTGGCAGGGACAAGTTGGAACCCTGGCAGCTTAAAACTATAAAGTATATTAGAGAGAGAGAATGTTAATTACAAATAGGTTATTTGCATGGAAGGCTGGGTTTTTTTTTTTGGGGGGGGGTGTCTTTTTGGGGGTCTGCTATTTCTCCCATCTTTTAATTACAAAACGAAAAGAAGATCAGAACATATCATTAGCTTTGCTTCTTAGTGAATCTGACTTTTCTCAAGAAATTTACATCTTTCTCTCATTTTCTGTTAAGGTTTCTTCCCCTGTTTTCTCACCTAAAGAATTATAATGAGGCAGAGTGAATGAGATCTATGGGGAGAGCAGTGGACCCAGAGACTAAAGGTAAAAGGATGATTGATGGTATGAAATTACCATAAAAGTACAATCAGGATCAGATTTTAAAATGAATTTTTAAGCAGCCTAAGAGATACTCTTTGATTTGCAGTCTGGTGGAATGGGTAATGTCTCATTCAGTGGATAAAGTTTCTCACTGTGTGACTTGAGCTTTTTCTGATCTTTCTGACTGGGAGTAAAATGGAACCAAAGCCTAAAGTGGTTTTTAATGCAGAAAATATCAAACACAATATTCTTAATGTCAAAACCTGGGCATAGCAGGTGAGGAAAGAAAAATAAATAGAAGACTATAGATGTTAGTATAATTGCATCAGGCTCTCCTCTCACTGGCAAATGGGTTAAAACATACGTTATTGAGAGGGCAAACTTATACATATTTCAGGTTGTCACTTAAGTGACTAATTAAGAGACTGTTTAAATAATAAACAGATGTTTACATATTGGAAAAGAATTAAAGTTTAGGCTGGTGTCAGATTTTGATCTCTCTTAGTTGTGTAAAATGCTCCAACTAACATGTTAAAGCATGAGCTATACGTTTTCCCCATTTGCTTTTTAAAAATTTAAGTACACTTCTTATTTTAGGGCAATTTCAGATTTACAGAAAAGTTGTAAAGATATTACAGAGAGTTCCTGTAAACCCCGCATCCAGTTTCTCCTGCCGTTAGAGTCTGTCTGACATTACTATTAGAGTTGCCAGATTTAGCCGATAAAGCATAGGACACCTAGTTAAATGTGAATCTCCGAGAAACAGCAAATCATTCTTTAGTATACCATGGCAACCCTGATTGCTATCCTCGTGTACATTTGTCACAATTATGGAACCAATATGAGTTAACTAAACTCCACACATTATTTGGATTTCACTAATTTTTCCTAATATCTCTTTTCTGTTCTGAGATCCTGTTCAGGATACCAAATTACATTCAGTTATAATACCTTTTTGGGCTCCTCTGGTCTCTAGCCATTTCTTAGACTTCCCATTTATTTTTAAATACAGTACCAAATAAAATGTTAATTGATAATCTAATAGTGTTAATAAGTACTTGATGTATGTACTCAAAATCCATTTTTTAAATTAATGAATTTCAAAAAAATTAACTTATAAATCATTTCAATGGTTTCTATATCTAATGCTCTATTTATAAGATTATAAAAAACAATAATAGGTTCCAATTATAAATCATGAATGTTAACTTTTACCATTAGAAAAAATAACTAGTAGCAACTTACTAGCATGTCCAGGCTTACCATCAGACTGAAAATATTGTATTCCATTAAATATTAGAGTTATCATCGTTATTCAACATAAAAATAATTACAAAAAACTTTCAAATCATGTGCTTTTAATTTACTTAGTTTAAGCTCTATTTTTATCAGTCTTTTCCACAGAATAAGCATGCTGCTAAGAATCGATCCTTGAAAGGCGGTAACTCATATTTGTTGTAAACTTTGCTCATAGCCATAAGAACAGAAGTTTGGCTGTTTAAATTTTTATTGTGCAGAATTTTCTGAGGAAGAGAAGAAGGAAGGAAGGAAGGAAGGAAGGAAGGAAGGAAGGAAGGAAGGGTTAAATAAATAGAGGGATATGAGATTAAACAACCTAGCAGAAAATATTTGAAGCTTGTAGCTTTGTAATTATAAGTTGATCTTCATTAAGTTAAAATTTCCTGCTTTAAAACTGTTCGACAATATGGGAATCTTTAACATTTCAGACAGTTGCTTCTTGTGACAGTTTCCATTTTTTCCCCCCGCTGACAGTTCCTATAATGACTTTAATCATAGAGTCTGGAAACGGAACCGGCTATTGAATAGCAACAAACTCAATGGTCAATGTCTATGTCACTTTCCTGGGAGCAGGACTTTCTGAGCATCAAGGAGCTAATACTCGGAGCCTCCTGGAAGAGTGCTAAGTGCATTAACTCTCTGTCAATCACATCAGGGACACGCAGGCCAAATTATTACCACTTGGCTCAAGACATTCTATTGAAACTTATTTGTGTGGTATTCGTATCTGTGTACCGTATATAATGATGATTGTTTATGGAAAGGTGCCTGTCCAATTATTTTTGAAGAAACACAAGAATGTAGAATGACTGGAAGCATCAGGTTTTTGCCAGAGACTGCCTCAGGTAAGAAGAGAATGGCTAGAGGCTATAAGGAATCACAAGAGACAAGTCAGAGTCGTAAATTGGGAAACTGACATATCTCATCTAATATACTTGCTAACTAGGCCTTTAAAAACCTTGACATTTAACTAAGTTTGTGGAAAAGTTATGGGTTTTTGTCCTTTTCTATGGGCTCTAACTCATTAATCCAGTGAATTAAGGTGTTTATCATTGTTACCAACATTAGTAGGTAGCAGAAGCACTGCTTAGAGAGACAGGTGAACGTCTCTCGGCTGAGCAGCTGTTTACGCAGGCTGCGCCTGTTTCAAAGTCAAGTCAGTCAAAAATGATACTTCAAGTTATTTACCCTTTTGGTACTTCAGGGCTTGAAATGACATGAAAGGAGCCTTTCATTCGGCAGAGGCATTTAAATAAAGCTCTAGGAAGACTGCTGCGTTTGGGAGGGGGGTGGGCTCTTTATTGAAATAAACAAGTTTCCAGGGATTTTAAGAAAATAGGAAAGAAATGAAAACTTTCCACTGAATGTTGTCTACTTCAATATCTGATTTTGATAAATTTGTATTATTTAGGGGCATAGCAATGGCCCGTGGCAAGATAATCTTTGGCTTCGTATGTTAATGTTCCATAAATAGGTTTAACTTGAACATAAGAAGATATTTTTTTAAACTCCAGAAACATTAAGCCACAAGACAAAAGGCATATGTCATTTATAAGCAGAAAACAGAAGTTTCCCAAAAAGGAGAAAGAGCAGGTGCTATTTACATAAGATGTAATAAAATAGCTGAGCTTTTCATTCAGTATTTTATTAAATGCATGTTAAAAGGAACTTCATTAAACTGCAATGCCAAAATGAGGTGTTAGCATTTGCCTTTATCAAACCAAAACTCTACCTCTAATTGCAAGGCTCATATTTTTCTCTTATTTATATAAAGTGGTCAATAAAGACGTTAATAGACCCTTTTTAAAATGATGAGATAAGATTACCTAAAATGTGTGAAAATTGTTATTTAGAAACTACTTTAACTTTTTTTCAAGTTATCGAAAACCAAAAACATATATTTTTTTCCTTTTTCACCTTTATCAGAGAATCTGGAATTTCATCTTTTTAAATGTTTCAATAAAGATAAAAAGGCTTTAATACTTGCTCCTAAAATTAACATTGACAATTTTAGCACTTATACATTTACTGCACAGATTACAAATAATTTAAAACATGCACTTAAAAGGACATTATCAATTTTGTGTACCAATCCTTTCTTTTTTGGTTAATTTCTGTCAATAATAATCAAATCAATATTCACTTATGAATTTAGCATAAAATTGCAATCTTTGGAGAAAACATGAAAGCAGTTTAAGACACGATCCTTACTTCAAGGGAGTTCTAATTTCATGTGGAAAACATGTTAAATACATCCAGAAATAAATAGCATGGGAACAATGCAAGATGACATGGAGTGATTATAAAGGCCTTTTGTAATAAAGAATAAAATACCATGTTATGTGGTTTAAGAAAAATGCAAAGAAGTGCTTATTCTAGTGTGGTATAAGCTTAAGGTTGAGGGACGAGGAATGTGTAGTTCATTGGGGATAAATCAGGATGGAATGTTGTGAAATGTAGCAGTTTGCTTTCTTGGGTGTTTAGTTTGTGGTTAGACCTGGAGACAGATGATTACGCATCTGAACAGCCCAATCCAAAACTGGAAAGCAAACTAGACAGAGGGGTAGTTCATGAAATGACTAAGGAGCTCACAGGGCAGCAAAGTATCCTTGACAAAAAGGGTGTCATTGGTACACAAGTATCTATCTGCTGCGTTAGACAGCTATTTAAATTTCCTAAACTTGGGTTTTCTTTTTTCCTTTTTCTTTTTTTGTCAGTTCATGTCTTTTATTAACCCAAATACAATTACTTGTCTTCTGGTTTGTTGAAGCAATAGGTCAGACAGCATTTGCCACAATAATGTCTGTCAAAGTGGCTGGCCATGAAAACTCCAGCACCACATCCATCAGAAGGGCACTCTCGGCGAAGGCGACTGATTTTGCCATTCTCATCCACTTTGTAGTATTTCAGGACAGCCAGCTTAACCTTCTTTCTCTTATGCTTGTTCTTCTTGGGAGTGGTGTAAGACTTCTTCTTTCTCTTCTTGGCACCACCACGGAGTCTCAGCACAAGATGAAGCGTGGACTCCTTTTGAATGTTGTAGTCAGACAAAGTACGCCCGTCTTCCAGTTGCTTGCCAGCAAAGATCAGTCTTTGCTGATCAGGAGGAATTCCTTCCTTATCCTGGATCTTGGCCTTTACATTTTCTATCGTATCCGAGGGTTCAACCTCGAGAATGATGGTCTTCCCCTTGAGGGTTTTCACGAAGATCTGCATCGTGGCGGCGATTCCACCGCAGATGGCGGATCGGAAAGCTAAACTTGGGTTTTCTTAACTGTTACATGAACTTATAATAGTTCCAATTTCTTCAGTTTTTGCATATACTAGATGACAAAAAACATGCCAATAATACCTATCCCATAGGGCTTTGTTGTGAAACACTTCCACCGCTCGGGACAGCAGCAGGTGGAGCACGGATCTCTGTGAACAAGGACCAGAAAGGGCACGCCCTCACCTGGCCTCCTTGGCTCTCTCTTCTAGTCTGGGTTTTCAGCTTTCATACCCGCTGCTGGGAGGCTGGGGGTGGGGGAGAGGGAAGAGGAGTGTGTGTGTGTGTGTGTGGGGGGGGGGATGGGTTGGGGGGGCTCCCAGCTGGACAGCAGCCTCCATCTATCTCTCAGTTTCTCCTGCTGAGCATGAGAACAAAAAGTTGGGCTAAGCACCTCTGAAAATCTAGATTACTAGCATTACCCTCACGATGATGAAAGGACGGCAAGGTTTCTGTTTGTCAGTGAATTTCTGGGTACTACTCTTGGAATACAGTACTTTGATTAAAAGTCTTAGACCTCAATCCTTCTAGCCATACTAAGATCACCCACTGTAAAGGGCACTACTGAACCTCATGGCCTTTGAAACTCTGCTAAAATTTGGATTCCATCTCTATTTCTAGCTGACCATCTAGAGAAGCAGGGGTCTGTGATTTCAAGCTCTGGGTGTGTCCTTGTCGGAGGTATGGAGGTCCCAGGAGAAATAAATGGCTCAGTTTCACTGCAATTAAGGAATCCTGGCCTGTCCAGCCACTTCACATATGGTAGGGGCAGGAAAGACACTCAGACTGGATTCAAACAACCCTTCCATTAGGTGGATATCCTGTGGGCAGAGCCCAGGGCTGGGATAAGGCACAAGAGTTGGGCAGGGCAACTCCACAGGTGATGGCTTTAATCAAAGAAAGCAGCCAAAGCTGAGATCTAACTTTAAGACCAGGTGGACAGCAGTGACTGGACAAGAGCCTAATTGAGGTCAAGCAATAGCATTCTGGGACCGAGTGAGAGCATTCAGAACACAGATTGAGCAGTAGAATCTGGAAATTTCCCTGAGCTATGAGGCAACACCATACCTTTCAGAGCTCACCATACAAGTTATTATAATATTATTGACTATATTTCCTATGTAACTCTCCCAAAGAGGGAAAACTTGCTTCTCAAATACTCACATCCATATTATCCTGTCCTATGAAAACATACTTCTAATGCCTAAAAAATTTTAAATAGAATATGATGCTTTTCATTGCTTGAAACTTGGCAAAAAAGTTAATGTGAAACTGACTTTTTTATACTAAAGAAGCAGTAATTTGTGCTCAATTGCTGCCTACAAGTCCATGAGTCCAGTCAAGAAGTCCAGTCTAGAGCTACTAATATCTGTATTTCCAAAAAGACCACTGACTAGTCCCACTCAGATTTATAGGCTGGTTTCCCTGGAGCCTTTTTGTTTTTTACTTCATTCTTTTTGTATTGTTGCTATTTTGAATCTCTTACTCTACCTGCTCTGAAGGTCCCACGGATCAAAACAAAAACAAACGTGAGGCCCTAGCTGGTTTTTCCCAGTGGATAGAGCATCAGCCTGCAGACTGAAGCATCCCAGATTCAATTCCAGTCAAGGGCATATGCCCGGGTTGCAGGCTTCATTTACAGTAGGGGGCTTGCAGGAGGCAGTCGATCAGTGATCCTTTCTCATCATTGATGTTTCTATCTCCCTCTCCATCTCCCTTCCTCTCTGAGCTCAATAAAAAAATATTTTTTAAAATGATGATTCTCTATCAATTATATCTTAACATGGCTTCAGACTCAAATACAGGGTCGTTACCTATTTTTTTAAAATAATTTTTTCTAAGAATATTACAGGTGTTAAAACTTCATGTTTTATAATATAACAAAGCTTGTACTCTTCCTGACTCCTGCCTCCATGAAGTTATGGCACTAAATTATTCTCTTGATTGAGTGAATGTTCCTATACAAGTTGCAGACAAGTCCTATTGAAGCCATCCTACAGTCTAATACACTAATTTTGTAGATCCTTATTCACTATTTGTAGATCCTTATTCAGTATTCACTATTCCATAGCAAGCCAAATGGATTTACTTATATGCCAGAAGATAGTATTGGTAAAATCCAGCAAAAAAACAAAAACAAAAAAACACAGATTTTCATTTTCAAACCATTAGTATCAACTGCAATGCCAATGTATATTCTAACATTGGTACTAAACATTTTTAACTTTGAAATGGGCAGAAGTCATAGTTCCTAAAGTCTTTTTGACTGACCCCCCCAAAAAAAAAATCACTGTGAGAAAATAAGGACTACATGTTGTCAATACACCAAATAACCATCTAAAGAGAATACATCTTTCAGAGAGATATGCATTGAATGAACTTGGCTGTATCTTGATTGGTAACAATGAAGCAGATAAGCAAGGAGCATGATGATAGGAGGGAGAAAAAAACTGAGGATCATATTAGTGATAAATTTTTTTTTCAGGTTACAATAATGGGAAATACAAGCTAGGTCCCTGCTGAGCAGAGAGAGTATGGGAAAAGCAAAAGAGAGAATTATGAGGTTGTGTAAGACTAATGAAAATAGACGTCATTGCTTCAGGCCACCTTCTTCCTCCTCAGATCTGTACAAAGAGCCACCTATGCATCATCACCAGGTGAGATTTCTCTCAATAACAGAGCTCCAGGAGGGCCCAACCCTTTTACTTTCTATCACCAAGAGGGGACTGTGTGATCCTTCCAACTTTAGGCCTCCAGCTGTGGTATGTGAAGTCCTGCAAACCCCTGGGGCATGGCCACTCTCTCTCCTGCCAGCCAGGCTGAGCTCCTCAGGGAGCCTCTGCCCTCAAGTATCTGCCAACAATGATCATTTCTTGAAAAAGTCCATTTCCTTGGAGAGACCTGACTCTTCTACCTTCCAAGTGACCAAATCCTTAAGGAAACAATTATTTGCTGTCCTAGAAACATTCAGTCACAGGCAATCTGTTTCCTCCTCCCTCTGTCCTTGCTGCTGTTGGGCTTCACTCCATGTTCATTTTGATGTATACTTTGTAGGCCAAGCCTGTGCCAAGTCCTTTACAATCATTATAGAATTTACTTTTATATTATAAAATAAATGATATAATTCGCCTAAAGTCACAGAACTCATTTGTAGCTCATTGATCCAGGAACTCAGATTCCAAAGACCATGTTGTTACTGTAATTATATCACTTCCACCAGCCAAATGTGTATATGACATGTTTGACCTTTATTTTTCTTCATCATATTTATCACTGATATTATATAACTCTTCTACTTAAGACCATTACCTTGAGAAGGATACTTAACCTATTTCTACTCATCTGTAAAATGGGAATTATGGTAGCACCCACCTTAAAAGAGGGTTTTGAGAATTAAGGGAGTTAATCTGTGTAAGAGAATAAGAACAATGCTTGGCTAACTGTAAGCACTTATATAAGTGTTAGCTATAATTAGTAGCAGTATTGCAGTAGTAATAATAATAGTAGTAGTAGTACATCTATTTGTTTGAGTTTTATTATGTCTCCTGTACCAGAATATAACTCCTTAGAGACTGTTTGTTCACTCCAATACTTTCACTGTCAAAAACAGTGTCTAGTGCAAAGTGAAGGCTCAATCATTATTTGTTGAGTAAATGGATACATAAATGACTTCAAATCTTCACATTCTTTTCTCTGTAACTTTTGGACTTCAAGCAACTAAAATTCACAAGTGGGTGAAAATCGTCCCTGATGTCAAAGCTGTACACACTGGTCCAGCACCCCCACAGGTCCAAGTACAAAGTAGGTTCTCTGCTGTGCCTTATGCTGATGGCCTTCTTTCCTGACATATTCTTCCCAGGGCTTCTTGGAGAACTCAGGCATTAAAGCTGACCTCTGGTACAGATAGAGCATTGAGAAATCCCTTATTATATCACATGGTTTTGTTCCCCAGAACTAAGGCTAGTGCTCAATGGTTCACCCAATCAGCTTATTTTCCTGATTTCAATAGAGACACTGGCTTTATTATAGACTGGGTTAAGTTTGGGATTTAACTTCCTTCTCTCCTCTGAAAAGTAGCAGTTCCCTGAAAGAAATCACAAGTGAGGGCAGAAAAGAAGAAAGAGCAAAGAACAGAAAGAGAAGGCAAGAAATAAGGGTGATGTGCAGCAACAGGAAGAGAAAGGACAGGTGAGAGTGAAATGGGAGATCATAAGAGAAATCTACTAACCCAGCAGAAAAAGGGAGGAAATTAAGGGAAAAGCAGAGAGCAGACGAAGTAGCACAAAAGAAGGGACTGAAGTGCAGAGGATTCTACCGGACAATGGAAACAGCCAAGAGGGAAGAGTGGGCTAAGATAAAGAGATCGGATGCAAATGGACTAAGACATCAAGTAACCATTGCCAGTTAACTAGGTAAGGAAGGATTAGTGCTCTAAATAAAATGCACATGTTTACAATTCTGGTGGTTTACAATATTTATAATGCATCTAAGTGTTCATTTAATCTTATTAAGTTATTGTTATAACTTCATTTATTACCTGCAAATGATGTTTCAATGTATCATGTATAGAGGGTTCCTATCATAGAAGTGAAGTGAGATAGCTTCACTTACAATTCATTATTATCCTACATGAATTAACCTTACATTGTTGGGAAATTCTTGGCAGTGTCTGGCAGTATTAAGCACTGTTCTTAATAATATAAGTATCACTGTGCCTATTTACAGAGATAGAAGCAATTATTTCCAGAAAATAAGATATACTTTAAATGCTTTGGCCTAATTAGCTGTGAAAAAGGACATGGCCCACATAGAGTTTGCAGAAAAGCCAGTTCACATCTGTGCATGCTTCTCTGCTCGTTCCCACTGCTACCCTAGTTCAGATCACCATCATCTCTCACTTGAAACTTCAGGACACTCTCTCACTTCCTTTCTCTCTTCCACCTTGGAT